AGAAAATGTATGACTGAAAATCTAATGAAGTAGAGGTCGACTGACGCAGCCCACATTGAGGCTGCATGGACTCGTTCGTGTTAATTGAGTGTCTCTTTCAATTCGACCTTTCGTTATATTTCATTCTTTCGCGTTTTATTTGGCCTTCTGAGAGTTATTGGGGCACAAACGAGAGCCAGTAGCGGTGCAGGCAATGTAACGAATAATGAATAGATAATCGATTTAACCGATTGTAGAGGGCTGAGGCTAAGGTGCTCTGCGTTGTTCGCGTTTGGAGTGCGCCACGCATTGGGATCCGATCAAAACGTGTCTGAACTTATAATGGCTAGCGAACGCGACGTTGCAATTCACCACTCGATCCTCGCAAAGTCTCCGCTTCGGGTAGCTGACCTGAAGGGATGGGAGGTTGGCTAAGCGTAGAGGGCAGGGACCAGATTTTTTTCTATGATTTTATGTCATAGAAACGACGTGTTTCTAAAAAAAGAGAAAAAAGAAATATTGTATGGTGTCGCTGCACGCGCCTACCGATGACATTTTTTCAATGGACTTGAATCGATGTATCGCTCCCCACTTTCAATACAACGTGCCAAAATGGCGGTTCGTAGGATGGAGCCATTTTTCATCTTCACCTTTTTTTGACCCGAACACATGTCCACTTGCACAAGTGGGAGTTCCGCATTTCTCGTGTCAATTTCCGCCTGCATTTTTTGTTTGTTCTTGTCTCTCACCTACTTATGGTCTAGGTGAATGAGACGTTGAGGATCTGGACCATAGCCCTGTTACTGTCATTTAGGTGTCTGAGTGAGTATGCCGCGTGCGAACGGCTCTGCGCGCGGCGTAGGAAAATGTCTGCGAGAGGCACGTTGCAAGTCGTCGACGCACCTCGATCTGGTTTACCACCCTTGCCAGGGAGTATATGATATGGAGATCAACGATGAAACGCGGACCTGCCCGTTCTTTGCTGGGTGACATTTGCGGCACTATCTCTCCTAATCCAACCTCTCTTGAAGAAGAATTTGTCTTCCACTAGCTACGCTCATAAGGGCAATGGGATTGCTCGGAATGATGCAAAAAACTCTTCTTATTATTATATTAAGTGGGTTTGATCCACCCAATGAAGGCGACACCCAGATTATGTTACAACTGCATCTTCAATGTGCTCAGATCGCATCCCAAACCGTGTAGGAAGGCATTGTCGATTATCGTCATAGTGCATTAATGACTGCCTTCCATATCGCCTTCACCTTGACATCACGTGCGAATTAGATTACTGCCGATGCAGTGCGCTGCCGTACGGGCGATTGTATCGTGCGGAGCACGTCACGTTATGGTCCATTATGCGGTACTTAGTACCTATGTACGCAAATTCATGGCTATGTTGCGTTTTACGGCATATAATGTTCGCTAAAATCTATCATAATAACAGGGTTACGAATTAACGATCTCAGCCCTAAGCAAGAGTGAGGACGTCTGGGAGCTGCTTACCTGCACCACTATCAACTGGCAGCCGGGCGAGCGATCATTTTTGGAGATACCGATGATGATTCCTAGAATTAACAACAACTGAGATACTTATAGCAAACTATACTAGCGCTATAGCAAGGCATGGGTATTGGGTTGGCAATGCACTTGAAACTGCGTTCAATATCTTCTTTTCATTGAAAACGGGAATGAGCCCTAGGCAGATGAAGATAGACCCAGGGTCATGAGCAATTTTCATTATCCACGAAGTTCTTGCCCTCCCTCCTCTGGGCTTAGTTCTTGGGGATGCCCCCGTTTCTTGCGATATGTAGCTCCCCTTATTCCTAGCCCATTTCAGTCGTTATAAACCGGCGAAATCACTCCAGTAGATGTGTCAGAAAGCACTTGGTCATAGGAATCCCCCGCAGTCTAGTGCAATGTATGCAGAGCAACTACACCTCAAGTGCTTCAGGCATATGTCTACTGGGTAGATAAGTCGACATGGTTAAGACTGGAGTGGATGGGTTAGGATAACCTTCTAAAGCTGGAGCAGAAACTCCTTGATGGACTCCAAAGTATGTAAGCTTGTGAAGATCATGTTCTCGTAGAGGTCAATGGTTGCTGAGGCCAGAAGTCGATTAGAATGAGCTGGAGGCTGAAAATCGACCTTGAAATAGGAAACAGCTTGATCGATTTGATTGATTACAATGGCGAAATCGCATTCCTGAAGGAAGAGTTGGTAAGAACGCTGTCTTTGAAGCAGCTTTTAAATGAGCCTTGCGGAGATGGGCATCCTAGACCAAGTAGTAATGAAATGCGGGCATTTAGAAATGTGGGAGAGCTCTTCTAAAGCCTCTTGCAAAGATTGACCCAAGCTGACCACCTTAATCCAACTTCTCTTGCAACTGAGAAACCGTGTTTCATGGTTCTGAATATAGATAGGCTGCAACTTCTTTGATCGTGCCAAGCATGAAATCCTTACGCCCACAGGTTCGGTGAAATATCCGCGAAAATTTCTTTCCTCCTATGACGTCAAAGTGGATGACTTTCGCTTTTCCCGAAAGGGAAGTGAACATCGTTTGTTTTTTGCGAAAGTACGGTCGTTTTTCTGACCTCGTGGGAATCGTTTGGGTTGATTTGTGTCGTCGATGTGGGAGCTATTCCTGCGTTGATGAGGTGCAGCTCATCAGACACCCCTTATGTCAGCTCAAGTGGGCGTTCAGATTTCAATTTGTCCCCATGCGCTAGCGCCTAAGATAAATGACAGCACAGCCGCATATCCCGATGGTCGCATTCGTTTTCACCCGTTTGATGAATATCCTTACATGAGAACACAAAGAGACGACGCAATTGCAAAGCGTTCGGTTTGCTTTCTCCAGCAGTGGAGAATCGCTTTACAAAAAACCCCCTGCGAGTGTATTTGTCTAACAGTGAGCACCGAAAAAAAGATGATAGGAGCGATGAATCATCACATATTCCCAAGTGTCTTTTTGATGGCTATCAGGGAATTGTCTTCATTGCTGAACAGGAAAACAGAAGGCAAAAAGGGCAATGCAGCCCTGTCGCAAAATACGAGGCATTGTGGTAGCAGTGCTCAAAACCACGTAGACGTCTCCTGTTTCGCCCTCAGCCTCAGGCAAGGTAAGGGATACTCCAGAGTTTTTGAGCAATTCCCGTCTTCTGCGGAGTTGCTGGCCCCCGAGGCCTAAGCAGGAGCCTCAATTACTTGCACATAACTGCCGACGAATAATCACATACAAATAGCATTTCTGTGAAAGTCGATGAGATTGGAAAACGTTTCAAGGCGCCGAGCTTCATCGTATCCGGTTCCCACTATAATTGCCTATTTGAAATCTATTTCTACGTTCGCTTCAAATTTAAATGACAATTCTTTGGATGAGTATGAAGGTTCCGATAGCCCTATTTTGCGTGCCCTATCACTCCAGTGCCTCTTATAAGTCCAAAAGGAGTTTAAGTTAGTTGTAGATAATAGAGGTCTGGGCACGGACACCAATCTGGGATTAAAACTGCTTATTATTTCGTGTTCATACATCAACTTTAGGTGATTTAAATAGATAATTATTCGCGAGCAGTTTATCTTCTTGTTAAGACGGAATCTCTGTCTGTTCCTTATTTCCTTCGACGTTCACAAAGACACTCCCTTTCTCTGCAAAAGGCAGCCGTCTGCGAGACAAAAAGCTCTTTTCTCGAAGAACCATTAATTTAAAACCAACTTCGCGCATGTCCTCGCTACTTATCGCCACGGTAAGCATCATTCCACAATAATCTACGTACATACTCTCAGGCCCTTTAATATTCATTTGAACAATCCTTCGCCAAAATCTCTGCATTAGGGATGTCTGCTCAACATTCTACGTTCTGGTTACAAAAGTTCCTGAGAGACGTATCTTCCAATGTCGCTCCTATGCAACCTCACTGCCACATGTCATATTGAAGCATTGACATGATTTACCATTTTTGTACGAGCATATTCGATCATGATTAATGATCCATAATTGCGGCTTTGTCTTTGAGCAGCCATGCGCTAAGCACCACAGTGACCACCTGCCCCAGTCCGTCTCAACAACTGTATACAGGTAGTCATTTGGATGGCGCAATAGCAAAAGACGACCCGACTGATGGGGACCCGTTGTGTCCGTAGCAGACATCCATTAACTCTACACAATTACACTCTTGATGCGTACACTTCAAATGAGAAAACCAAAAGAAAGAGAGACAGGAAGGAAGACGGCAGGAAGTTGAAGGACATCCTTTGTGATATGCGAGTAATTTTCGCCAAAAACTGCCGTAATAGACGTGCAAAAACAGAGATCACGCTGAAATACAAGAAGGTGGCAGTGTGTTATGTAGCTACTTTCAGAAGAAAAATCTCTCGGCTGTTACTGAGGCTCACACGAACTAACGCATTACTCGTACTGGTGTAGCCCAGCGATTTAACAGCCTCGAGAAGCGCGGGAACGTCTAAAAAATAAGAAACTATAAAAAAATGGGAAGAGGGTACGGAAACTGTAAAAGAACTGGTAAAAGTGTACAATTGTGAAAAAACTGAGTTTTAACCTACCTATATAGAGTTAGGAAGTGTATGCTTCTCAGTTCTCACTTTCAGCCTCACCGAATCTCATCACAACTTCAAACAGAAGCTCGGCTTTTCAAGAGTCCCCTATTCAATAATGAAATTAATGGCTTTGTATATGAATTAAACTGTTCTATTTGAAATTAAAATTGTTTTTGTTTTTGTTTTTTTTGTTTTCCGATCTCAATATTGTTATGTGTGCTTTATTCAAAATTTATTCAGGGGGTGGGACTCAAAGAGTAGTTTAAGTCATAGGTTCTTATGGGCTTGAGTAGGTTCCCGGTGCTAGGTTGCACTCTCGCTGGCTTGTAGAAGTGTTCTTCATGGGCTAATAAGCCACTCTCAGCTAAAGCCTTGCAGTAAGCAAAGTTGGGTGCTTAAAAAGTTGTCCTTGTGGACCACCTTCCACTTGGTAGTTATTGTCTAAATAATGATCATTTTCAGATTTGGAATCCTCTCGTTGGCGAACAACTCCCTCACGCACATCACGGCAGAAGCATTCTCGGCTCTGCCACACCTGAAACATCTCGATCTCTCCAATAACAATCTGCTCTCATTACCGAAGAATGTGTTCAGTAAGCTGAAGAACCTCGAGGTCAGTGCCTTGTGAACCACTTAATGACCGTTGAAGAATCGCTGACAAAACGAAAATTTATGCATAGTGCTGTCAGTCAACGTTGTAGGCTGTTGACAGTTCAGTAGCTGTGGTGATGTGTCGATTAATAATTAAGCCATCTGTCTAGACCTTCGTGTTCGAGCAATTGGTTTACAATGTGTTCGGAGCGCGTGAATAGACAGACCAACGAAGGGTGGCTAATCCACCCCCTAACCAAACCCAGCTAATAATAAACCATAATTCGAGCTCAATAACAATTTTCAGACGCTGACTCTATCGAACAACGAGCTACAATTGTCTCCAGACACCTTTGCGGGACTTGTCGCCTTACAGCGACTAGAGCTGACCTCAAATCGACTGGCTTATTTGCCACCATCGGTCTTCCGAAGCCTGAAATCGTTGAAGATACTCGATTTGGCCAACAATAAGCTATTGGCGCTACCAGCTTCACTTCTCTCTACCATGCCACAACTGAGACATCTCGACGCCAGCCACAATCTTCTTTCCGACGTAAGAATTCTTCGTTTTCTTGAATAATTTTCCTGAGATCCTAATTAAGTCATATGCTTGGTATCTCTGCGAAGGAAAAGTAATCGAAATGCAGTGGCAATGCAGAAATCAACAGCAGCTCGTGAAAAAAGTTTGCAGGGAACTTAATGGGCCCATTTTTGTTTTATTCTGCTTTATTATGCATGGGAGAGTCATTGAAATGCTCTTCATCGAGAAACACAGCACCCATTTAGCAATGCAGCATCAGAAAAGGACCAGAGTTCGAAAAACTCGCGCCTGATGGGGGCCTTTTGATGGGACATTTCTTGTAATTGTGAAGCCCGGAGCATCGCCACTTATCCCTAACTTAAGGTTCAAATAATGAAACTGAAGTGAATGAGTAGAGGAAAGATTGAGCAAAAAGAAGGATTTAAGGGGTAAATCCTTAATCCAAATCATTTTGCTTTAAAAAAAAACACCCCTCAGGATGGAATATGGTTACGCCAGGCATTTCTCAAATCTTAGACATTTAGCTATGGGAGAAACTTCGAGTTTTTGTCTTACATATCTCTCTTGTTACCTTAGCCTTTTTCACAAAGCGATGTAGGTTCGCCGCTCGAAATTGTTTAGCAATTGAGTCCATGCATAACCCTGTTTTTCGATGTTCCATTTCATCTCTATCGCGGCTGTCAACCGTGAACCCATAGCGTCATGGGATTCGCTTCGGCAAGAACTCTAAGCTGTTCCTTTTGTAACCAAAAAATTGCTAGAAGAATAGCCGTCAGAGTGCGCTCCAGGGTTCACACTTAATTAAAGACCGTGTAGATCTTGTCAAAATGAGGGTCAGACCACAGCATGATGCTCTCCTCCGTAATATCATCTCCATAATACTGCCAAATCCGGATATGGACACTCGCTTCTCATAATAAGGCTCATAACAGTCTTGTAATGAGGGAGGGCATGGCTTGTGAGAAATTTGAAGAGCTCTTAAAAACGGATCTGCATCTGCCAACCATCTAGATATGAAACCACTGCTAGCCGACCTTGGAGAACTACCTCTAGCGATCACAGTCACCCTGTCAGAGTGTAGCGTCAGGGTTGATGTAATTACCTTTGTAACGACTAAGGTTTCTTTTCGATTGAGCTGATTCTCAACCAGCTTGGGTTATGTGGTTCTCGATGTGATCTATTCAGCTTATGTTGCGGCACTGAAGTTGGTCTTGTCTTTTCTAAATCTGTCACAAAACATGGCCATTCTTCGAACGGGAAGCCGAGCAAACGGCCATTATTCAAAACTTCAATTTCTTATGGAAAATGGAAATTTCCCATGAGACATATGTACAGCGTTCAGATGTCTCCTAGGCGATATAAATGAGGCTTTCTTTGAAATTCAAGCCATCCCATTTCTTCGATTCAAGCCATTCCATTCCTATGACCAATCTCAACGGGGTCAATGTGCCTGATGTTTCGAAGAGGGAAGGGAAATCTGAAGCATCGGAGCCTTTCATATCGACCTTTGATATTCACGCAATACCCCCACTGGAGATGAAACAAAGGCCAGTAAGCCGTTTTCAAAGAGGACAGATGCGTTTAGCGGAACTGATTGATGCGTGTCGATCGATAATTACTGTAGGATCATTGGCAGAAGGTGAACGGGATTTATCGCTACGGTGACAATAGCGGCTATTCAAGCTGAGCGGAGGTTAAGCGCTATTAGCTCATTGTGGCGGTGTGACTTTGACAAGAGTCAGCACTCGTATTTGTAATAGATTGCCCACAACCAGGGATGAGGGGTGTTCCCTTACATATTCTGCCAGCGAAGTTTAGTTGTTTCGAAGATACTACGGGCGATCTGCAATTCAGGTACTGTAAAATTTACAAACACGTTTATGCGCCCTTGAAGACACCTTAAATGGGACTACCGGTGAAAATGTAGTTCGGGGGGGGGGGCACCCTATCTAATCGAAGTGGAGTAGCGGAAGACACTCATATCTAATCAAAGTATAGTTGCGGGAAGGCACTCATATCTTATCATATCTTTCACTGAGTAAGCGGCAAACCAGTTCGTCACACTTGTTACCCTTGTCCTATGGCGAAAACGGCTGTCACCTTGCTGACTCTTCACTTTCACCAACCCTTCTTGCGATTGCCATGCAAGCCCTTGGCGAAAGGGCCTTTCAGGTATCCGATTTTGTACGGAATCCCGGGTTGGTATCCATATCTAATCGTACACTCAGAGC